ATCCGGCCGTGCCGATGAGAGCCCGCCAGCAGGTCCAAGGAGGACGACGAATCCGACGTCGTGATTTTTCGCAGCGTGGCCTCCCAAGCAGGTCCGCCTTTCTTCCCCAGCCGTATTTGACTGACTCCCGCCCTGTGAGGGCCCCTGGAGGCCGAAAATTGTCATCCTCACTTGGGGTGGGCGAAGTCCCGAGGTCCACTCGGTCCACTCAGACCCCTTCCCTAGGACCAGATGTTCGCCCTGGATCCGTTTTTGATGGCCCCCTGGCCTGGTAACCGGCCATTGGAGGCCAAAATCGAAGAACAACCCCCCGCAGTGAAAAGTCACATCGTCGGAGATCTGGTATGGGCGCCATGGTTTTTCAATACGGGGCCCCGAGAAGTCCCAAACCTTCCCCCAGGGCTGGTCTTTCATCCCGAGTTGTTTCTTGACGGCTCGAGGGGTCCGACGAGGGGGGCCTGGCGAGGCCCCCCCGAAGCCGAAAACTGCCAAAACATACCGTCGTGATCGTGATCTATTTTACGACGCGATCATGTCTGGGAGGGCTTCGCTGGCGGCGCGACGATGTTCGCAAGACTCCTGGCAGCGTTTCGTTAAAATGATTAAAGGCGATTTAGCCCGATTCAAATGCCACTTCACAAGATCAGGCCGGATTTCGCCCGGGATCAAGCCTGAGTGAACGGAAATAAGCTGAACTAGGCCGGATTCGCCCAAACTGAGCCGATTATCGACCGCGGAAATACCAGCGCCAATGCAGCAGATGACCTCCCAGGAATTGAATCCTGGAAGACATCTGGGTCGTCGCCGTTGTCGTCGCCGTCGCAGCCGGAAGATCCGGCCGCCCGAGACCGACGGCGGCGGTCCTCCGCGCGCCCCTCGGCGGCCTCCTCGGGCTCCGGCGGCGGCAGCGGCTGAAGGGCCTGCCGCGCCCGAACGCCCTCCCCCCTGGGGGTCCCAAGACTTGCCATCGCTCGGACGTGCATTCCCCGTGCATTTGTCGGTATCATGCGTGTTCTTCGTCTCGATGATCCAAGATACTCCTCGATGGTCCTCGCCAGCCAAACATGCACACGTCTCGGCGAGGGGGGCAAGTGAGAAGGAGAAGGCCTTCTCAGAAGTCAGCGGGACTTCTCAGAAGCCCTCGCGCCTTCTGAGAGGTGTTATGTTTCTTCTGGGGAAGGCTCAGGGCAAGAAACTTCTCAAAGGGCCGAGGGACGTCCGAGCCTTCTGAGAAGGCCTGCCCCTTCTCACTTCCCCTCGGCCGCGCCCCCGATGGGGGTCCCAAGCCTGGGCAGTGACAGACCGTGCAGCAGTTATTCTAGGACTGCTTCCTCTCACCTGCTCGCGCCACTCAAAATCTATCCCAAGTCCACGCTGGAGGCGATGTTGGCTAACGGCGATGATGGGATTGTGTTTTTCTTGCGGCGTCAGACTCGCGCATAATGAAGTGTGTAGGAGGGCACGAACAGCGCTTTCCTGCAATTAGGTTGGCCACGAACCATACCCACCCGCAATACCGAAACCTTCATCGCCGTTACCTACATCACCGTTGGCGTGTCCACGGATATCATGAACACTCGATATCCGCCAACTTCTTCTTCGGCCGTGCAGTGTAGTCATAGGGCTGGGGACGCGTGAATTCACGCGCATGCGAGCACCACAAACACGTCCCTGCTCGAAGTCACATGCAAACTCTGCCCTCGCATAAACGAAACACTGATTGCGCGGGACGTGGGAGGGAGGGGGGACAGGAGGGAGGCGCGCACTAGACTACATTCTGCACCTCGGCACTGCGCACATATGATTTCAAGTCAGCGTCTTATTGGATGAAACGCTCGAGGGTGGCTGCGCAGCCTATCAGAAATCACCAAGGACCTCACCGCACGGTCCGTTGCCACACGGCTTTGGAACCCTGGAGGTCGCTGTCGTCCAATACGTCCCCTGAGAACAACCCAAGTCCCCAAACCGTGCGGTGATCCCGAATCAACACTGACTCACCACACGGAACTCGGGTGCGTCCAAGGAGGGGGCGCCCAAGGGGGGGCGGTTCGCAAACCATGGCCCGAGGCATGTGCGCGGACGAGGGGGGACCCGGGCACGTAATGGAAGAAGGGAAAGAGAGGGCTATGAAATCTGGAGGGATCTCATGACGCCGGCCATGAGATCCCCCCTGCTCATCACCCCTCTCTTGGACGCCCCCGATTGGCGGCGCGCACAAGGAGGCAAGGGGAGGGGGAAGGCTTCTTAGAAGGAGGCTGCGTCTAAGAAGGCGACGGCCTCACTTCTTAGATGCAGCCCGCGCCTTCTGAGAGCCAACCTCCTCCTCAGAAGCCTCCCCCCCTCCCGCTCACCCCCCTCTGCGCGTGACCGACCCGGGGTGTGATCACCACACAGCTTGGGAGCCACCGACACTTGCTCGGGGGCGCGGAGATCGCCGCCGCCGCCGTCGCGTACAAACCCAGGCCTGCTCACGCCGAGGGCCACAATCACCCCCGCGGGATGCTGTTGGCCGTTTTCGGCCTCCTGGGGGCTGTCGCCGGGCCCCACAGACCGGCCCTGGGGTGAGGGTCGAAACTTCTGTGGGCTCCGGGTGAAAACAATGTGGCGCCTATGCCCACATTTCGCACAATCAGAACTTTTCAAACTGGACGCTTTTCCTGGATCCCGTCGTCTGGGGCCCGTTTTCGGGCCCAGGGGGGCCATCAGAAGGGGGGCCATCAGAAGGCAGAGCGCGAGCGGCTCCAGCACCGCCACCTGCTCAAGCCTCTCCGAATGCCAGAGAGACCCTTTCCGAGAACAGCCCAGGAATGAAATCGGCCCCAGGAAGATGCGGAAGCTCAAGGGTGGCGAGCGGCAGACCGCGCTGCCGAAGGGCAGGCGAAGCCTGCCGCTGCCTCACGCCACGCAGCGGCACACCGCTGCTGTCCCGCGCCGAACTCATCAGTCGTCGGTCTCGTCGTCGAAACGACAAAGCCACGACGAAGATGAAAATCAGGTGAGGATGTCTCGGGCGGCTCTGGAAGATGTCTCGGGCGCCGCCGCCTCATCATCAGAGTGGTCGGGGACGCCCTGAGAGCGGTCCGGAACGCTCTCAAACGATTTAACATCGTGCTAGCCCCGTCCGTCGTCGGCCTCGTCTGTCATCGTCGGTCGTCGGTCGCCGTCGCGGGTCGCCGCACTTGCCTCTTCGCACCTGGCCGCGCTCCTCGTCGTCGTGCTCTTCCTCGTCCTGCCCCCCTCGGAGACGAGCAGGAGTGCGATGACAAGAATGAGCTCCTCCCTGCTCATTTTGTTGTTGCGTTTGTTGTTGTTGAGATAGCTGCTGCTACTGTTGTTGTTGCTGATGTTGTTGTTGTGGTTGTGACTGTTGTTGTCGTCCTCGTTGTCGTTATTGTTGTGGTTGTTGTTGACGTTGCTGAGGTCCCACTTCTAAAAAAATGATTGTTGATCTCCCCTGATAGTTAACTTCTGTATTCTTTCAAGTTAAGTGCTTCACCCAGGGCTCGCACCCGGTAGTTTACGAGGGACAATGAGGTGTCACCAAACTGGGCGTTGGTATTATTGGTGTTGGTGTTGGTATTTTTGCTGTTGCTGCTGGTGTTGCTATTGTTGTTGATCCCCCTCCGGCGCGCTTGGTACTTTTCCAATTGGAGTGCCCTTCCCGGGGCTCACATCCTATCTTACAACGGAAAATATTGAGGGTAAAACTGGCTCCCTTGCCCACGAGTTACAACAACAAGGGTCCCCGCCAAATTCTTCCTCCGAGTGTATTGAGAAATCGCGCTCTCGCGCGAGACGTCCTCACAATGTATGCAGAAATCGTGCTCTCGCGTGGGACGTCCTCGCAATGCATTCAAACGCCGCGCCCTCGACATTCAGGAATCGCGCTCTCGCTTTGGGTTTCCTAACGATTCATGTGGGAATCAATCCCGATTCATGCAGTATCCTGGGCCCGCATTCCCGGCCCGTCCGTCAGGGTCTACCCGCCCGATCAGCCCGCCTGCTGGTTTGCCACGTGTTTTCTGTCCATAGCCCCCCTCTTGCGAATCCTGTGCCCAATTCTTCTTCATCCCCTTTCCATCTGTCCTCTCTTCCCTTGTTCGAGGGGCTGCACCATTTACACGCGGCAGGTAAAGAGGATAACCCTCAGAGGGGGCACGACCGAGGACGAAGAGGGCGGGTATCGAGGGTTTGGATGTGCATGTTGAATGGCACGCGAGCACATAACAGCGAGCAATCATATAATAATTGTTGTTGTTGCGGTTGCTGCTGCGTTCTCACTTCTACGGAACAATTGTTGTTGGTCCGCCCTCTGGTAACCATGGTATTATCAAATCTCTGAGGCTCGCACCTTTTTAAAACAAGGGACAATGTGGGGTCAGCAAACTGGGCCCCTGGCTCCCAATTTACAACAACAGCAGCTCCCGCTGGATACTTCCCCACAGTGTATTCTCAAATCGCGCTCTCGCGCGGGACGTCCTCGCAATATGTGCAATAACCGCGCTCTCGCACGGCACTTCCTCTAATTTTATTCAGACGCCGCGCCGTCGACACTGAGGAATCACGCTCTCGCTATGAATTTCTCACGATGTATTTGGGGATCGCGCTATCGCGAAAGACTTACTCGTGATTATTGCATGGCGCGCACTTAATACCCCCTGCTCGACTTGGCCGCCTGGGCCCGCCTTCCCGACCCGCCCGTTAGAGTCTACCCGCCCGATCTGCCCGTCTGGTTCTGCCACGCGTTCTCTGCTCCTGGCCCCCTCCTGTTACCATCTCTCGTGCTGCATCCTCCTCCCTCTCCGTTGCCCCTCCCTTCCATGCGTCCTCTCTTCCCCTGCCACACCTGGCTCCGCCGCTGGCGGTGGCTGCGCCCCCCTCCAGCCCAGGCGGCGCTTCTGCCGCGCCCGCGCTCCCGTGCAGCGTCCAACCCAGGCGTTTCGCGGTCGAGACCGGGCGGCCCTCACCCCGCCTCCCCCGCTCCACCCTGCCTCCGGCCCACCGCCTCTCGCCAAACGAACGAGGCAGAACCGCCCCCGCCGGTCTTGCACCCACAGCCCGCGCGGCTGGCAGGAGCTCCACCGCTGCCCGCAGCGACCCCTGCCCACTTGGGGGTCGCCGCCGTTGCGGTTCACGTCCTGCTTTGCCGCTCTGGCCGCCGCCGGCGCTGCTCCCTCCTTTTTTCGCTTGGCCGGCCCGTCGAGCGGCTCGGCTTCCACTACCGCCCCAGGCCGTGTTGCTGTGCACCGGCCGCTGCCCCAAGGCGCGTGAGCGCTGCAGCACCTGCGCCAGCAGTGGTGTTGCCCCTATCGCAATCGCTGTTCGCTTTTGCGACCTCCACCGTTGCGGCCCGTCCCGCATTGCTCACGCAGCCTGCCCGCTGGCTGGCCCCCCTTCTCCCTCGCTCTGAGGGCTACAGTAGCCCGTGCGCCACTTTTGTCTCGGCGTCACTCGGACGCGCGTGCGGATTGCCTCTGCCGCTCTGCGACGTAAAAAGGAAGAACCGCGCTCGGCGAATGCGGCACCGCGCCCGCACGCTGTCGCGGCACCATCTCAAGCGACTGGCCACCGACACCCCGCAGGGACGCCATCGAGACCACCCCATCAGACGTCGGGATGCCGTCGGGACGCCCGTGTGCGCAGCCCCCCGGGGCAGCTAGGACCTGGGAGACGAGCGGACAAACTCAGCCCCGCGCCCTGGCCATCTCCACCTGGCACCCGCGCGCGGCTTGTCACACACGACGCGGTCACGAAACAGCATCCCCGCAATGCAGCCAGGAAGCACCAGGACACGAGCGAGAAGGAAGGGAGAAGGGGGAGGAGGGAACAGGAACGATCCCGAACGCCGCCCCTGTGACTGTATTGGAACGACCGGCGCCCGCGCGCAAATACGCACCCACGGCGCGGTCGAAAGCATAATATCCTAGGTGGGCTACCCACACTGAGGATATCACACCCACAACCTCCGATTTTCGACGGAGCGCTCCAGCTGCGTGGGTGGACTGGCGACGGCGTATATCGAGCTCTCGATCGTCTTCGTTATCGCTCTCGTCACCGTCACGGGCGTCGAGGCCTGAGGGCGAGGTTCAGACTCTGAACCTCGCAGCGACGACTCGGATCGAAATCGTGGCTGTCGTCCCCTCCCCGACGCCTTGGTCCTCTTCTGCACGGGCCTGTCCTTGCTCTGCAAGCCTCCGTTGGCGATGATCCTGTTGGCGCCGTGTCTACTGCTGTTACTTGCTTATCTGTTTTCCTGCAGGCGCCCAGGCTTGAGCTCGATCGCTCCACCCCCCTCGGGTGCGCCGAAGAGGAGGTCCAGGAAGGAGGGGGGGGCGCATCATGGCCCAAGGCATGTGCGCAGACGAGGTGGAACCAGAAGGCGTGTTGAAAGAAGAAGATGGGGCCATGAAACCTGGGAGATATCATGGCCCTGGTCATGATGACCAAGCCCCTAATTCGTCCCCGCCCCCTCTCTGCACCCCCGACCCCCCCCCACCCTACAAGGGGGTAGCAGAAGACCTGTTGAAAGAAGATGGGCCCATGAAACCTGGGAGATAGCATGGCCTTGGCCATGATACCTACCACCCTCATGCGAGCTCAAGAATAACGATCAAACTGTAGGGCGAAGAATAACAAATTTTCGAGCGGCCCAAGGTCGCTGGAGCCACGTCTCTCGACATTACGCGAATCGTAACAGGCAACAGAAGCTGAAACACCGCAGCTCCGTAGCCAGCGCAGCCGCGTGGAAAAGTAAGCAATATGTCCCATCGTTTTTTTTATGATTTGGGGATAAAATCAGTCCTCACGCCTTGCAGGCGGCCGGGGGAGGTCTGAGCTTGTCGGAGCCCCAGAAGATCGGTCGGGAGGGGGGACGAAGCCAAATCCGCTCGAAATCTGTCCGCGGACCCCTCCCAGGGTCCATCAGTCGGGGATGGACAGACCCCCCTTTAGCAAAACGTGGTTTAGTGAAAACGACCCGAGGCCCAAACCTGGCGGGCGCAAGCCTGGAAAATAACGGCCACGGCGCCCTCTCGAAATCCGAAAACGGACAATTCACTAATCGACGTGTCACTGTTGGGGGTTCTGTCCACCCCCGAATGAGGCGCACTTTTTGAAATCGGATTTTATTTTCTCACGGTCCTACGGCCCGAAGCGGTCCCCGGAGGCCGGAACAGGCAAAACGCCTTCCCGAACCCACAACCTCGATCCTGCCCGCCCTTCTTGCTGGCAGGAGCAAGTGCTGGACCAACTCAAACCCTACGACAATTCCAAGCTGGAACCATCCCGTCGTGATTGTTTCACGATGCGAGCATGCATGGGTCTGTCTTTCCACTCTGGCCCAGGTCATCTTCACCCCAGATCATTTTTGACGGTGAAAAACAACTCGACGAGCCCAACACCTCGAACCCCGCACCCCCTTTCTAATCTTCACGCCCCCCTTGAAGTCCCCGACCCCCCGCCACCACACCCGCGGTGCCTCCCCGACCCGTCCCATGCGGCGCGATCCTCCGACTCCATCTATTTTGACCCAATTTGGGAGGCCGTGACCATCTCCAACCGCCCCGGGCCGCGAAGACGAGCCCTTGGACGCTTCCGACCGACCCCCTTGGACGCCCCCCTTGGACGCCTCCGCCGCCCTCCGTGGACGCCCCACTTGGACGCCCCTTACCTCCTTTTGTGTGTGTATCTGTGTGTGTGTGCGTTTGTGCGTGTGCGCGCGCGCTTGCTCCGGCTTGCCAGGCTGTTCCTTGCACGGTGCATGGTGTTTTTCCCACCTGTGCTCGCCTCGCGCAGCCACATTGTGCACGCGACTCGCCCTGCATTGTTCACCCATCTGCAACGTCAGGTGGTATTGACGCTAAGCGTGACCCGCCTCAAGTTTCGCTGCAGTGATGTCACTCGGCCGCTGGATGAAAAGGAGATCCCGCTCCCGGACCCGCTGAGCTGGGCCCGCCCCCTTCCTGCCTCCCCCCCTGCCTTTGTGCTGTGCCGCCCCTCCTCCCTCGCCTCCCTCCTCGGCCGGCTTCTCTCCCTCTGCGTGTCTGTCCTTGCCCCTGTGGTGTGGTGGTGCCTCCGTTCTTCCCCTCGGCTCCTGGGCGTCGCTTGATTGAGGGGGCGATATGTGGGGGGGAGAAGAAAGGTGCACTCCGCGGACCCTGAAAAGGCCCCCTTTGGACCCTTAAGGGCCCCTCCTCTGGGGGAGCCGAAGGGCCCCTTTCCGGCAGCCCTCGCTACCCCCCCCACTTATCGCCCCCACATTACGCGACGCCCAAAGCTCCAGCCGTCCCGTTTGGCGGGCTTCGGCGACGGCTGCATCGTGCGTCTGCCGGAGCGCGCGCGCCCGCTGGACCGACGAGCGGCTGGCGGCCAGGCCCAGCCCGCAACGACCGACAGCGTGTGTGTGTGTACAATGCGTCCCACTTGAAGAAGCCAGGACGAGGATAGAATCAGGTGAGGATAAATCGAAAATCTCTGAGTTCGGGCGGCTCTGGATGATGCCTCGGGCGCCGCGGCCTCCCCCAAGCGTTCTGGAAAGCTCTGAGACCGTTCCGGAACGCTCTGGAACGGATTCTTCCTCGTCCTAGCCCCGTCCGAGTTTGGGAGGTCCAGCGTTTGGCGGCGTGTCCCCTCCTCGCCATCCAAACCCTCCTCGCCATCCACGCCCGGATGGTTTGCTGCTGTTGGCGTGCCTGTTCGGAGATTCCCCTGGGGGCCTGGCCGCGCGCGCACTGGATCCAACCTTTCTCCTCCCCTCCTCGTCGCTGCCCGCGAGGCCGCGCCCGCCAAGAAGCGTGTGTGTGTGTGTGTGTGTGTGTGTGTGTGGGTGAGCTAGCTCTTAACCGGGAGGCTCGCTCTCGACCCGCAGAGCAAAAAAGTGTGTGTGTGTGTGTGTGTGTGTGTGTGTGTGTGTGTGTGTGTGTGTGTGTGTGTGTGTGTGTGTGTGTGTGTGTGTGTGTGTGTGTGTGTGCGTGCGTGCGTGCGTGCGTGCGTGCGTGCGTGCGTGCGTGCGTGCGTGCGTGCGTGCGTGGGTGTGTGTGGTGGGTGTGGGGGGGGGGGCGATTCTCCTCACGGAGCGGGACAAACGGGCGCCCCGTGGAGGCAATCGAGGGCGGAGGAGGATGAGGCGGTAGAGCAGGAAGGAAACAATCGGAGAAATGTGAATGAAGGGCACCGTTAAGTGGGGAACAGATAGGGGGACGAAACATCGCCCCAGAATTGGCGATACATCGCCGATAGATCGGCGACAGGCCCCTGATAGCGGATCCGCACATTACTGGGATGGGTGGGGCTATCGGGCCCCTATCGGCGATCAATGGGCGATTGGGGGTCGATGCGACCTCCCCCTGAGCCCATCCACTCCCTATCGTTGCCCCTGATGGAAGATGGAGGGGGTACGACAATGAACACGCACGCGGACGCCGAGTGGACAGAGGAAGAAAAAACTCGGTAACATAAACTTTCGACTGTCCGCGTGGATTTCTTGCATCTTCGCTGGCCAGGAGCGCTGCCAGGGGCCTCCAACGCAGATGCAAGCAATCCGAACGGACCGTCGACAATTCATGTTTATGTAAGTTTTGCTTCCTCGAGAGGAGGCCGCCGTCGCAGGACGGCCAGGGAGGACACAGCGAGCGCCAGGGAGCGGATCCCCGGGCTTGTGGGATGCCCCGGGGGACGACTCTGCGAGGGCCTGCCGCGCGGGACGCCCACTTCACGACCCGCCTGGACGATTCCCCGCCGCTCCGGCCAGGTCCCCGATCACGGTGCGTGGGTTGCCATCGTCGGGTGTTCGTTAACTCGGGGGGGTGGGGGGGGGGGCCAATGACGTGGGGCGAAGAGACGTGCCACTCTCGTTCACCTTTTGGGCCCGCGGTGGCAGTTCAGGGGCCGCTCAGGGTCCCTTGCCTGCAATCCTGGGTCCCCCCCTGGTTCACTGTCGCCCCTTTGCCCTCCGCCCGACCGTCCGAATAGTTCCCCGCCGATCCGACCAGTTTCCCGACAACGGTGCACGGTGCGTGGGTCGCCATCGGAGGGCTCCCTTCTTCGCGCGCCTGGGGTCAGGATGACGCGCGTTCGCACAGGGAGCTCCTCGAGGCCTGGGCTGTATGGGAAAGGGTGAACAGAATCTTGCTGTCGCCACTGCCGACAGAAACCACCGCATCGGGTAAACCATCCCGTACGCTGCCACTACTAACGCTACTAATCACTGCAACGCTGTGACCAAAATCAAATACGTACCGCGCTGGGGTGTCATAAAAAGAATCGTGTCTACGGAACGTGGCCACCATGACAGGGTGAACTCTGGTCTCTGTCACCGCCCAGACTAGAGGCCTCCTAGATGGGGTCCGAATAGATGTGGTCGGAGGATGGCGCCACATCGCCGATGCATCGCCAACGTCGGCGTGGAGGAAAGCGGGCTCCACATCGAGCCGCATCTCCAATGCATGGGCGACGCGGCGCCATCCTCCGACCACATCTACTCGGAACTCATTTGGCAAGTCTAGATCGACTGTTCAATGGTTTGGTGAACTTCGCCGTTGGCGGTCTGCACAAACCTCCGGGGGGATTCAATCTCGATCACCCGCGCCCGCGCTGCCGCTGCGACGAAATGGAACGAACCTGCCGTGGCAAGCTGCTCCGAACCTCGCATACCACAGGAGGGGGGAAACAGACACACACACACAGACACACACACACACACACACACACACACACTCACACGCACAAGAGCACACGCACACACGCACACGCACACACGCACACACACACACACGCACACACGCACACACTCACACACTCACACACACGCACACACGCACACACGCACACACGCACACACGCACACACGCACACACGCACACACGCACACACGCACGCACGCACCCACGCATGAACAAACACACGCACAGACTTACAGACTTACAGACTTACAGACTTACAGACTTACAGACTTACAGACATAGAGACTTAGAGACTTAGAGACTTAGAGACTTAGAGACTTAGAGACTTAGAGACTTAGAGACTTAGAGACTTAGAGACTTAGAGACTTAGAGACTTAGAGACTTAGAGACTTAGAGACTTACAGACTTACAGACTTACACACTTACACACTTACACACTTACACACTAACACACTAACACACTTACACACACACACACGGCGGGGACGACAACACGCAAAGGGAATCCCACCAGCCCTCGGGGCATGAGTGGAGTAACGGGCTCGGTCTGCTAACCCTCTTCTTCCCATTCGGGGAGGGGGTTTCCCTCTCCCCATCCCTTCACCTCTTCCCCTCCCCTGGGTCTGGAGGATGCGTTTCGCGAGGAGGTGGAGCGTCCAACATGGTCCACGTAAGGGGAATGAACAAAAGTAAAGGGAATTGGGGTGACGTCCGTCCTGTGATCCTTGTCCGCGTACGCGAGGCTCAAATGGTGGTTGCAAAACCTCCCGCACGGCCCCGTCCTCCAGTCCCGCTCCTTCCTCCGTCCTCTCCTCCTCGCTCAGCCGCCCCCTCACTATCTGTCATTTATCCTCCTCCTCCTCCTCCTCGTCCTCCTCCTCCTCCTCCCCGTCGTCCGCCTCCCAACATCTCGCTGCCCTGCTCTCTGTTTCATCCTCTGCCTTCTCCTCCTTTCCCGTCTCAAAGACAACGTAAGTCCATACACACTCATACCAAAACCACTCGGATCCGTCTTCCCTCGTCCACCCGCTCTCCCCTATCCACCAGTACCTGCGGCGCACGTGTTGGAATGTCCTCTGATCCCTTGGGATCTTCGGTCTTACGTCTTGATTCGAATGAAATGACCCAGGCCTCAAATGCCAACATGTTCCCTGGCGTGGCGCGTGGCTGATGTGTGAATTTTCTTGGGGCCTAACTGTAGACTTGGTGTGAAGGCGTACAGTCGACGCACGTGTACCTGGGTCGGATCTTGGACACGCTGCAGAGCGACCACGTATACCATCACCCACACGTGGGTGACGTACGCTAGCGCCAGACGTGGGATAATAAATATATCGGGCACAATTGTCGTCGCTTGAGTCTCTCGCTTCTGCCCCAATCAACTCTGGGTGCTTTGTATGGGGCGGAACTAAAACATATATTCTTCCGGGCCGAACTAGACGAGGCCGTCATCGGTGTTGGTTTGCCGTGTGGCGCAATGTGTAGTTGTGTACGTTGAGCTTACATGCGCCGAACAAGCCCCCTACGCATTTGACGTTTGTGTATATTCTGGGCCGGGTTCCTGCCATAGTTGCCGTGCGCGATTGGCTGTTCGGAGTTATGGGGCGAGGCCTCGCTTCGAACGCCCCGTCGTAGGACATCGGTTTGAGACCAAGGCCTCGCGTGATGGTCCTGAGTTGGATATCCTGGGGCGTCCTTGGTGCCCGTTCCTGGCTTTAGGCGCTGTGGGCAGTGCCGTGCTTCGCTGTGCGACAAAGCCCACCAACGTTCGTAACACCGAAGCTGAATCAATTGGCAGCGTGAAACAAACCATGCGTTCTTTCTCGCCCTTGGCTACAACTTGTTCGCTGTAAACCAGACCTTTCGAAAAGACATCTGATGTTTGTCCATGGGCGCGATGATCCGTGACTTGTTGCACCCAGCCGCGCGCCTGGCTGCACCTGAGAAGGCATGCGTCGACGTCTATAAAACCACGAAACACGAGGCGTAACCTGCTGATGCGTTTCATCTCGCCTTTCCAGTTCTTGACGACCTGCCATGTACACACGTACCTCGATATCATGATGTTTGTCGCGTTCCCAATCTCCTGCGTTTAGAGCAGTCACCGGACTCATTTCTATATTGCTCATGCATATAGCACTCACTTTCGTTCTGAGGTCCGCAAAAGGCCGCACATGCACGCACAAACCGGACAGTCGCATGCACATGCCCATGCAACCCTGTCAAAGTCTCAATCACATGGCCGCACATGTGCGCATATGTCACAAAATCCGATGCACAATCTGGGACAACTCCGAACGAATAAGCGCACATGCCCGCACATGCCGCAGAGTCGACGATTCGGGTGGGGGGGACAGATGATCAAAGGAAGGAACAATAAAAACGAGGGAAACGGATGTGGCTGGCGTTCCCATCGGCAACACCACACTCACATAAGGGACGTGCCAGGCGACAACAACAACCGAACCAAGAGATGTGGCCAGCACTCGGATGATGTATCACGCGTGGATGTCTCAGGCGAGAATGGCCTTACCGCCTCAGCTCATGGCATCTCGGAACCCAGAGTTAGGAGGATGTCTCAGGCGAAAATGGCCTGACAACCTCAGCTCAAGGCGTCTTGGAATTGGCCTTGCGAGGATGTTTCAGGCGAAAGGAGCCTGACCACCTGAGCTCAAGGCCCCTCGGAAACCAGAGCTGCGACGATGTCTCAGGCGAAACGTTTTCAGCCAGCAAGCGCTTGTGCCATGTACGCGGGTAACGAATCCTCTCGCAAGAAAATTTGGCTTCGGCACGCTATTCGGCCGACTCCCAGGTGTGATCGTCGGCTCATACGCTCGTTCGTCTCTCTCTCTCTCTCTTTGTCCTCGACCCTAGCGCCAGTCCATCTTTGGTACATATGGCCGCCAAGGTCAGGCGTCTCGGCCAAACGTCCTGACCGCACACCAAGGGGGTATGCCCGTCGGGGAGTTGCGTCTCAATGCCCAAGTGGAGAGTCCACCTGGGTACCGCGACCTCTCCGTACCCGTTCCCCCCCCCTCTCTTTCTCGTTTTACTACCTTTTTCCCCTTCCGCCCCGCGCCTCTCCCCGACGACGGGGACGAGAACGAGGAGGCAAATAGAAAGAAAGGAAAACGGGGAAACGAGGAGGAAGAGGGGGAGGACGAGGAGGAAGAGGAGGAAAAGGGGGAGGACCAGGCGGAGGAAGAGAAGGAGGAGGAGAAGGGAGGGGAGGAGGAGGAGGACGAGGAGGAAGGGGAGGAGTTGGAGGAGGGGGAAGAGGAAGAGAAGGGGGATCATGGTGATGATGATGATGATGATGATGATGATGATGATGAGGAGGAGCAGGATGAAGAGGAGGAGGAGCGGAGCGGAGCGGAACAGTCGCGAAACGACGGAAAGACAAGCCCATTCCCCTGCCGGTTAAGACGAAGAAGAACACGGCGCAAGTGAAGAACATGAGCCCTGACACCCTCCTGGCACTGCGAAGAAGACCGAGGAACGAAACTGATACCCCGAATGAGTCCCTCCCCATTGTAGTCGACACCTGCGCAGAAAGTTAATTCACGTCGCATCGGCAACAACACATGTGTTCACTCCTCCACCGCACCACCAGAAAAGAGGCGCCAATACAAATTGAATGCAAGCTGAATTCCAGCTGCAACCGCCAGACAAACTACACACGACATAGCAGAAACAATGAAAATACAGCGCCATCCACCAACATCCCACAGAGGATGCCTTTCACTGGCCAGGCTCAGCCACGGGTGCCCTGCGCCAGCCAGGCTCAGCCAACCTCCAGAGAGAAGTAGATGAAGCCCAAAAAAACTTGATGAACATCCAAATGCCCAAGCACAACAGGTTCAGGTGCCGATAGAAGAGGGGAATGACTCGACTCAGGAAGGACCTGACCCGACCTAGCGCGTGGAACTGGGCCACAAAGAAAGAACTGTCGAACGAATTCGCCCCGCCCTTAGCCTATCCGCCACTGCCGAAAAATACCAGAGGAGCAGATAGCCACAAGCACGCCACGATGAGGCGACGGGGCGGGAGACCATGAGCGAGTTGGAGCCAAAAGGAACGTCGCGCCCTGGGCCCCCTTGTACTTGATGATGATGATGATGATGATGAGGAGGAGGAGGAGGAGGAGCAGCAGGAGGAAAATGACGACAGCGACGGCGGTGGCGACGTCCCCGGGTCGCCCGGACACGTCCGCCGCGCCCCCCCCCCTTGGCGGGCCGCTCGGCGCGGTCGGCGTTGCACGGCAGGCTGCATCGCCTCGGCGCAGCGCGATGTCGACGCCGCCGTCGCTGCCGCCGCCGCCGCCGTCGTCTCGTTGTTGTTGTTGTTGATGTTGTTGTTGATCGTTGTCAGTGTTGTGTTGTTGTTGCCGTTATCAGTGTTGTCTTCGTCGCGGGCGTGCGAGAGGGGCCGAGGGAAGGAGCAAGGACGAGGGAGGAACGGGAATATGCAGGGGAGGGGGCAGAGGGGGCAGGAAGGGCAGGGAGTGGAGCGGGAAGGAGAAACTACCACGTTCGGGGGGGGGGGGCAGATGGGAGGCACGAGGCAGAGGAATCGAAAATGAGTGGGGGGGTGGGCAGGATGGGGGCGATTCGGAGGCAAAGAAGGACGACGAGGGTGGGGACGACGACGGGCAATTTCTCTGACATGCTGAACACTGCGCCCCCACGACGCGGTCCAAGAGTACAACGCGCCATGTTCGACACTGTGTTACGCGTTTCCTCCTGCGAATCGGGCCTACATATACACATATATAGGTATGCATGTAGACACGCACACCTATACACAAATATATGTGTAGTTGTATATATACGTATAACCATACACACATGTATGCATGCATGTATATGCATGCATGCAGGTTTGTATAGTTGTATAGTTGTATGATTGGTTGCTCGTATGCATGCATGTATGTATGCATGCATGTATGTATACGTGCAGGTAGGTAGGTAGGTAGGTAGGTAGGTAGGTAGGTAGGTAGACAGGTCTGTATGTATGTATGTATGTATGTATGTGTATGTATGTGCATGTATTTAGGTGTGCATGCATGCATGCACGTATGTGTGTATGCATGTTTATATACATATACTCATACATACATCGCCGTAATCAAACTGACAGGGTGTATGCATGCATGTAGAGACATATGTATGCATGCACGCACGAACGTGTGCACAGTTACAATGACGCATATATCCATATGAATTCGTATGCCTACCTTTATGTATGCTATCGCGGGCGCACCTCCTCCTCTCCTCCTCCTCCTCCTCCTCCTCCTCCCCCTCATCTGCAGCCTCGTCGTCCTCCGCCTCCTCCCCGTGCTTCTCCTGCAACTCCCTGTGCCGCTTACCGCTCCGCGCGCTCCTGCTGCCGCCTCCTGCCCCTCCTGCCGTCGCCGCACGGGCACCTGCCTTCTTCCTGACTGCTCGGCGGCGCGCCCGGGGGGGACGTGAAAGGGGACAGGCCTTCTAAGAAGGCCCCGCGGCTTCTCAAAGCCCTGCGGCCTTCCGAGAAGCCGTCTCTCTCTTTGGCGAGGGCTTGAGCAGCTTCTCCGATGACGCGAGAGCGTCTGAGAAGGCCTGCCTTCTCTCACTTACCGTTCTGGGCTCGCCACCGAACTACTCCTCCTCACTCATGCCTCCCAGGGGGCTGCCCCGCCCCGCCAGGGTTCGGCAATTGGGTCGGCACCTATGCGGGGAGGTCAAGCACGGGGGCTTGATAGTGAAATCCCTGCCCACTCAGGCCGTGTCCCCCCACACGGTCGTCGACTGGGTGCCACGGTCCTGCGGGGCCCAGGGCGGTGCCGTGAGGAAGCGTCGCTATCTGAGCTGAGTCTTTGCTGGTCGAGGACATGAGACCACGGGCTGCCTTAGCGTGGGGTCGCGGGCAGGACGCCGCGGAAAACCCTGGTGACGCGCACTCAGGTGGAGGGGTGGGTATTGTGAGATTGGGGTCCCCACTCCAAGCCTTGTGAGCTTTGCTGCTGGCATTGTTGTTAAGACATGCTGCCCTGGCGGTGGCGGGAATTCCTACTTGTGGCGATCGGATAACAAGCTGTTCGTGGAGAAGAAATGGCACACGGAATAAACATACACGCTCGACGATCCGTGCGGATCCTTTGGATCTGCGCTGGATTCCCCCTCCCTGGCGCGCGGAGCGCGCCAGGGGCGGCGCCGGAGGCGCCATGGGGGGCCCACCGCAGGTCAAAGAAATCCGCGCTGAGATCCGACAGTGTACATTTATACAGTTGTTCTTCTTCGGTAGGGCGCGGTGCTGGCACTCTTCTCGTCAAAGCAGGGCTCGTGGGTTGCGCCCCGCCGTGCGCACTGCGGGGCGCGCTCGGTGCGACCGCTGGCCCGCTCCAGGAGAGGTCCGGGCACGCGCAGCGCCGCGATGCAGGCCTGAACCCGTGACTACATCTGAGCCTCCCTCTAAATTTCCTCCTCCTCCTCCCTCCTCCTCCTCCTCCTCCTCCTCCCCCCATGCCTCCTTCCACCTCTCCTCTCCTCCCCTCTCCTCCCTCATCTCTCTACCATTCTCCCTCCTCCTCCTGCCCTTCTTCTTCCTTTTCCTGTTCCTCTTTTCTCTCACTAATATCATTATTTTTGTTCGTCTTCTTCGTCTCATTATTATTATTCGTCTTCTTCTTAGTATCCGAACTACAATTATCATTATTATGATATGTTCTTATGTGTCTCAATATTTTTCTTATTCTCCTTCCTCCTCGTCCAGACCCTCCTCCTTCTCTTTCTCCTCCTCCTCCTCCTCCTCCTCCTCCATTCCTTTCTCCTTACAGATAACTCCTTCCTGTCGTACCCCGAAGCCAATTTTTAGGGCGGGCCGGGCGTTTCGCCTGAGACTTCCTCACCGCTTATGACTCTGAAGCTGAAAGAGTGACAACAGTTTTACAGATGGAGGGCGGGTGGTTTTCAACATGTGGTTCTCGCCTTAGCGCCGCGCTCATTCGGTTTTAACATTTGCAAACGTCTCACGGATTGACGCTGGGTCGTTTTCAAAATGCGGCTCTTGCCTTAGCGCCGCGCGCATTCGTTTAATAAAAGGGCAAGCGTTTCACGGATTGAAAGCGGGCGGTTTTCAAAATGTGGCTCTCGCCTGGGCGCCGCGAACATTCGTTGAACAGCACTTGCAAGAATTTCACAGATCGAGGGCGGGTGGTTTTCAAAATGTGGCTCTCGTTTCAACGCCGCGCACATTCGTTTAACGACAATTGCAATAATTCCGCGGATTGAGGGCGGATGGTTTTCAAAATGTGGCTCTCGCCTGGGCGCCGCGCACATTCGTTTTAAACATTTGCAAAGGTTTCACGGATTGAGTGCGGGTCCTTTTCCAAATGAGGCTCTCGCCCGGGCGCCGCGCACATTCGTTTTAAACATTTACAAGAGTTCCACGGATTGAGGGCAATTATTTTTCAAAATGTGGCTCTCGCCGCAACGCCGCGCACATTCGTTGTTGCAAGAGTTTCACGGATTCCCATGGACAGCGTACAGAAAATCCGCCGACCCCTTGGGGTCACGGCGTGTGAAATGCTTCCCCCTCCCCAAACCCCTCCCCCGGGGGCTTGGTCCGGCCGGTTTGGAGCGGGACGGGGGGGGGGGGCAAATCCATCATCCGCACACTTGAAGCCTCAGGAGGCCCCAACACGAGCCAAAAAGGTTCCGAAGGTTCCAGGAACGGTCCAAGAGAGCTACGAATCGTCGAGAGATCGCCCAAAAAAGCCGAAGATTGCCTCCACACGGCTCCATAAGTCCCCAAGACGTTTGAAACAATATTGCGAGGCGCCCCAAAGAAGCCCTCCAGAAACAAAAATCGTCCCATGCCCTAGGAAAAACGTGCATTTTCACCACATTCGCCCATTCGGCTTCCACGCGGCGCAAAACAGCCCAAGAAGCCTCCAAGATCGACCCTCGCCAGCCCAAGAGCCTCCCAAAAAGGTTTCAAGACGGCGTCCGGGCGATCCACGAAGGCTCCAGCAACCATAGCAGCGGCCTAGGAAAGTCGCAAGACGGTCCCAAGAGGGCTCCAAAACGGGGCAAGAGGGTCCCGAAAGGCTGTCCGGACGGCCCACGGCCCACGTGGTGGACGATTCGGTCCAAACCGCCCAAGATTGCCTTCAGACAGCTCCATGGGTGTCCAAGACGTTTGCATACGCGACCACGAGGCGCTCCAAGAAGGCCTCCACAAGCAAAAACCGTCTCATTCCCTCGGGAAGACGTACATGTTCAGCACATTCGCTTCTTGGACTTCACGAGGCCCACAACGGCCCAATAAAACCTCCAAGATCGCCCCCTGTCACCCGAAGAGGCTCCCAAGAAGGCTCCAAGACGGCTTCCGGGCGATCCACGAAGGCTCCAGAAACCATAGCAACGGTCCAGGAAAGCCGCAGGACGGTCCAAAGAGGGCTCCAAAACGGGCCAAGAGGGCTCCCGAAGGCTGTCCGGACGGCCCACGCGGGGGACGATTCGGCCCAAACCACCCAAGAATGCCTTCAGACAGCCCCATGGGCGTCCAAGACGCTTGCATACGCGACCAAGAGGCGCTCCAAGAAGGCCTCCACAAGCAAAAACCGTCCCATTCCCTTGGGAAGACTTGCATTTTCAGCATGTTCGCCTCTTGGGCTTCTACGAGGCCAACAACGGCCCACGAAACCTCCAAGATCGACCTCTGGCACCCCAAGAGGCTCTCCAAAAGGCTCCACGACGGCCTCCCGGCGCCCCACGAAGGCTCCAGAAACCATAGCAACGGCCCAGGGGAACGGCAGGACGACGGTCCTAAGAGGGCTCCAAAACGTGTCTAGAGGGGCCTCACAGGCTGTTCAGACAGGCCACGCGGGGGACGATTGCTGCCGCCCCAAGTGGTCGGCGGTGTGGCGTAAGCCCATGAATATGGTTTGGCAGGATTCTGGATTATGCGGGCGCAACAATTATGCTGATCCGCTGTGTCGACGTCCCAAACATGGCGCTCTGGCACGATTGTGTATCGTCAAGACGCAGCAGTCAGGTTGATACGTGGCGTTGAAATCCCGAGAACAATCTTTTGGCACGCTTCAGGATCTTCAAACTGTTGTCTTCCAACGAGGCAGCTCCCTCAATGGAAATGAGCCGTTGTATGGGGCCTATGAAGAGGGAGCTTGGAGGAAGGGTTAATTCCAACATCGTTGATAACTCTTGGGTTTCCACGGGTCCTCCTCCTCCTCCTCCTCCCTCGGGCCTCCTCGGAAGGAGGGCGAGGAGGGTGGCCGAGCTCTGGATCGTCGAAGACCTTGGGTGGCCGAGCTCTGGGTCGTCGAGGACCTTCTCGGCAGGTATACCATTGATGGACATCCCAGGTGACCGCATGTTTCGCGTGCGGTGAGGGCGCCATGTAAGACGACACTGGGGGCGTGGTCCTTCAACTCTGAGGAGGGGAGTGCGAGGGGAAGGAGGGAAAAGGGGTAGGATGAGGAGGGAGATTGAGAGGAAAGCCACTTCCGGGAAGGGAGATTGGAATCCCTCCTCCTCGGGGCTCTGGGGACACACACACACACACAGACCGACCGACCGACCGACCGACTGAACGACCAAATACTGCTGCTCCCCCGACCTCTCCTGGGGCGCGCCCTGACCAAGATTTCGAGGCGAATCCAGCAATTGCGACGAGGAGCGCGAAGCGGTATCTGGATGAACAAAAAACGGCATAAACATAAACTTCTGGAACTCCGGAGGATTTCTCAGATCTGCACTGGGCCCCCCTCCTTCGCGCGCGGAGCGCACCAGGGGCGGCGCTGGAGGCGCCATAAGGGGGGCCCAGCGCCGATCCAAGAAGTCCGCGCGCAGCTCCGACCAATCATGTTAACGTAGTTTTTATTATACGAGGAGCGGTATCGGTATACATGTTCCTCCTCTGATCCTCCTCCCCTCGGCAGCTCAAATGTTGGGCCCTGCGTCGTGGGGCCCTCAAGGACAAGTGGCCTCAACCAATTGCGGCCCACCTGACCTCAGGGCCCCATCCCTCAGGGCCCCGTCTCTGAAACGCCCATCCTCCTCTCCCTCCTGATCCTCCGTGTTGTTGCCCTGGCCGCCCACGCCGCTCCCTCGGGGAGAGGCGCGCGCGATGGTGATTCTTGTTTCTGCAGCGATATGAGTCAAGAGGGACGCCAATTGCTAGACTAGGACCCCAAGGTCTGCCACATTGCACTCAGCGAACAGGAATTGCGCTTTGAGGTCCTTGCGAGCCCTCATTGTGTTGGTCTTGTCCCCCCTGGGAAAGGCGCGCGCCCGGGGGCCTCATCTCGCACAGCCCCAGCGAGGGGCACTCGCCGATCTTCATCAGCTGCGCGGCCCTCAGCACGTCGACGACCGCCGGCCTCGGACGATGAGTGGCGACGACGACGCGGACGACGGACGACGGACGCGGACGGACGACGAGGACGACGAGGACGACGACGGCACGGGTGAAGAGGACGAGTGCGACGAGGACGACGAGGGCGACGAGGACGACGGACGAGGACGACGAGAACGACGAGGGCGACGACGCAGCGGATGAGGACCGAAATGCCGGTGTCCATAGTTTGTTCTGGCACGTTCGAATGCCGCCAAGCTGTCCAGAGATTCTTTCCTTCTCAAGCTCCCCGCTCATCTCCCTCATCATGTCTCTATCCCCTGTATTTCCTTTTCCCTTCGTTCCTCTGAGTCTCGCACTCTCCTTGCGTGAGGCGCATGCTTGCTGAACATATGCCTGGCGCGTTCAAACTGAGCGTCGCTGGTCCGTGTCATGGAGTCCAAGCCTGTGAGGCCTGCAGCCTCGTCACGCTAAAACATCATGGCAAGCGTGTTGGATGATTACTTGGTTTTGACAAGACGAGTCCAATGATGCAATTATGGCGTTTCTTGAGAAACATTCTACTGTTACGCAACCTCCGCTGGGTGTGACGATGCGCGGGCAAATATATGGTCCGTGCCAGCTTTGAACCTTCGTGCGCCCAGGGTCAATTGCAGAGGAGCATAACATAACTTAAACATACACTTGCAGAGGTCGGCGCGGATTTCTTGGATTGGCGCCTGGACCACGCCTCAATGGCGCGCCAAGGGCGGCACTGGAGGCGCCGTCAGGGTGGCCCAGCGCCGATCAAACTGGGATCGCCCTGAGGGTGCTACGTGGATGGGGGGTTGAAAACGGATGCAGGGGGGGGCTCTTGACTTACATCGTTGTCAGATGTACCACAAGCAAGTGAGTTAGGGGAATGCATGAGGCCGCCAAGTGAACGGATAATTGCACATCCTTCGCCACATACGGCGCGTGTAACCAACTCATGAGCCAGGTTGGGCCAACTACAACCACCTTGGCATCCGCATATGGCTCCCATATCCAGTTAGAACCCCCAGCAACGATCCCTAACAAACTCTGCGCGGGCGTCTGGTAATTCATGTTCACGCCGTCCTCATACTCGAAACCAGTAAAAAGGCATGTCAGATTTCAGCCTGGCGACCATCTCAGAAAAATACAAATAAACTCCCGACAGAACGAGCGCACACCCCACCGCGCACCACGCCTCTGTACTCCTCGCATCCTGAACGTATGCACTGGACATTTGAATGTGCTGAGCTCACGCTGTTGTCGCAAACGGGACTCGCGTGCCAGCCGTGGTGCCAGATTAGTGTAAGAAGCTTGATCTGCACACCTTGAGTTCAAACTGGTAACTTGAACTAAACTTGTTGGTCACGGAGTGCCCATGGCTCTTTTGGGCACCGCACATCCTCTTTATTATTGCACTCCATTTCCTTCGCAGCTTCGATGCTCACTCCTGCTTCAACGCATTCCACGTAGCCCGCCCAGGGGCGACTGCCCTTGCCCAGCTTGCGCAAGACGAGCCAGGAAGAATACGTCGGGGCGATTGGGGTGGCCGCGCGTGGCACGAAAGAGAGGCGGTGCGCGGTCAGGGCGCGCGGGGAGTGCGCGCGGGGGGGGGCCCGCGAACTGGGAACTGAAGCGCACCCTCCCCCTCGTGAGGTGGCGGCCAAGTTTGCGCATCACCACGGGCCACCCACGGATCACCCCCACGAGCGCGAGGACGATACAGAGCAGCGCGACGAGTCCCGGCTCAACTGACCAGCACTTTCGGAAGGGGGGGGGGCCTGCGCACATCTTCACCGGCGGCCCGTTGCCCACGCATCTGCAGTGGGCGGCGTTGGCGTCGGCCCCCCAGCCAGTCGACCAATTGTGCTACCCCGCGAGCGGCGTACTTCCCAGGAGAGAACTACCAGCTCGTGTGTCTTTCCTCGGCCTCCGTCGCCATCGCTGGCCCAGCATGCCGAACACCGCGACGTGACTGCGGCACCGTAGGCCTTCGACCCGAAGCCGCGACGAAGGCCGTCAAGACCTGATATGACGGGGAACGCTAGGGGGGGACTGGCTCAAGGAGGGAAAATCGAGCTGGAATCGGCAACACGTCGCCGATAGATCGGCGATGGGCCTCCGAGAGCGAAACTGCAAGGCCCAGATCTAAGGGAACATCAAGAACAATACTTTCTTGGAGGCCCGCGTGGATTTCGTGGATCGCCGCTGGACCCTCCTCCATGGCGCGCGGAGCGCGCCAGGAAGGTCGAGCCTCTTTCGAAGTCTACGCCCGTGGGTGCAGGATCATAGGCGGCCCGCACGACTGCAAGTTGCCTCCCCTGGCGAGAGAACCGGAAAACCGACGACCCGAATGTGGCGAGTCAGGGACAAAGATGCATGGGCACCCTTGTGACAGAAATCAGAAGAAACTGGACACACACACATGGCCGGATTCACACGCGGAACATCTGGAGGCACCGTGGTAGAGTAGGCATGCGGAAACTGGGCTTCAGTACACGTCCCCAGAAGGGCCGAGCGCCGCAAAGACATCTGTCCATATGTGTATAAATAGTCTACATTAACTTCCTGGAAGGCGTCCGAGTAGATGGGGTCAGAGAATCGCGCCGCATTGCCGACACATCGACGACGTCGGCGATGCATCGGCGACGCCCGCATCGGCGATGCGGTGCGACCATCCGACCCCATCTGCTCCAGTCCCATCTGGGATGCCTAGAATCCAGCTCTTGCCCAGGCCAGCCGCGCACCATGTGTACCCAGCTATCTGGTAGCCTCAATGGGTCTTTATCACCCCCCCCCAATGATGCGCACGACGGTTTTTGCCAGCCAAGAGCTTGTGTGGGGGGGCAAGACTGAAGACCGCCTGCGCTTACTCCCGTGGCAACTCATAGTAACTGGGAGCTTCCAATGCAATCTTTTCGGCTCCTGCGAATCGACGCTTGTCTAGCGTACTCAACGCTAACCGACACTAGATCGACGTCAGTCGACGGTAATTCGGCGCCATCTCATCGACTGCCAAACGCTAGTCGACGCTGGAGACGGATTTGAGAAGGCACACAAACTCGCATTATTTGCTACGGAAGGTTGCTCCTCCTCGTGATGCGGTTAGCTTGCGCTCCAGGCCGCTGCGGCGGCCAGGCGGGCGGCGGGCGGCGGGCGGCCAGCCCTGAGAGCCCGCGCCAGGGCTCGGCGTCGGCGGCTTTTCCCCATCGGCGCCCGCCCGGTCGTGGGGGGACGACAAAGTACCGATACGGATAATCACATTCAGAAGAACATAAGCCAACACAAACATAAACTGTCACAACACTCTTGGATCTGAGCCGGACACCCTCCCTAGGGCGCGGAGCGCGTCAAGGGCGGCGCAGGAGGCGCCACCAGGATCCCCACGCCGATCCAAGGTACCCGCGCGGAACTCCAAACAATCCCACCAGCCCTTTGGGCGTAGGTGGTCTGGGGAATTTCCTCTTCCAATCTCCTCTCCTTCGGGGAGGGGTTTACCCCTCCCCCCATGCCCTCTCCCCTGGACCTAGACGGGGCGCCCCGCGAGGTGCCAGAGGGTACTTTTTCGCCCAAGATGGCTCCAAGAGGGCCTCTGAAAGCCCGGGATGACCTCCAAGATGACTCGATATAGCCCGAGATGTCTAAAGCCGGTTTCAAAGATGTTCCAAGAAACCCCAAGAACTCTCCAAAACGGCTCCAAGAGGCCTCCGAGACCTCCAAGGAGGTCTTCAAGCCAAAATCCTTTTTTCCAATATTTTGATTTGAAAATGTTAAAAAACCAACAGACCATTTGTTTTGCGTTCTCGCCTCGTCGCTTCCGATGGCCATCCGAGGCACCAAAATTGCTCCAAGATGGCAGAGAGGGCGCCGGGAGAAACCCAAGAGCGCTCCAAGACGGCCCCAAGAGCGCCCGCGAGCGCCCCAGGAGGCGACTTCTGGGGCTCCCAAAGGGGGGGGGGGGGGGGAGGGAATTAGGGAATCCCTCTTCTTTGTGATCGATCTCCTCCAAAATGGCCCCCAATGCGCTCCGAAGGCTCCCACAAGCGCACCAAAATGGCCCCAAGAGGCGCCCGCACGGCCCCAAGAACCGCCCAAGCTACGTCGAAGACGCTCCTATGAGGCCCCCTAGTAGACTTCAAGAGGATCCCCGAGGCACCCAAGATGCCCCCCAGACATTCCAATATACCTCCAATGGAATCCCAGGAAACATCCAATGAGGCCCCTATTTTCGTACATGTTCCTCCTCCTCCTCCTCCTCCTCCTTCTACTCCTCCTCCTTTTCCACTGTCTTGTTTTCCTTCCTCCTCTTCGCCCTCCTCTTCCTCCTCCTCCTCCTCCTCCTCCTCCTCGTCCTTCTCCTCCGCCATCCTCCCCCTCCTGGGGTATCGGACAGCTTCCCCCGCCCTCTGTTCTTTTGCATGCTCCCAAACTTATATGATCACCTTAACTCCCCTGGGAATCGTTCCTGCATGGGCTGGTGGGGATGTTTTTTGGTTCGCGGGCGCACGAAGCGAGTCGGACGCCGAATAAGCAGGGGCAGGCTGTGCCACCTACGAAAGCAAAAAACAACAGAGAGCAGTCCGGTGCGGGGCGGAGCACTCAGTGCGGCACGCCGTGGCGAGAGGAGCCCGGCGGGCGGTAGCGAAGGTGCAGAAACACCGCCAAACCCACGAAACTGCCGCACGTGAAAAGCGTGAAGCAGACGACCACGAAGGTGCGAGACCGCGTACAGCCGAAGGCGAACGGGCGGGCCCTGCCACAGGCGAAGAGCGTGCCGAAAACAAAGAACACGTGGGAAGCGAGCGAGCGCCACCCTGGCCAGACAGGGAGAGCTTGAAGCGCGCCCGCGGCGAGCACGACGAGCGAGTAGGAACGCAACAAAAATGGCGCGAGACAGGGTCGACCCGCCGGCGGCCGACGCGTGTGCAAGTAGCGCGGGTAGAAGAGCCAGTAGCCGACCATGGCGAGGCAACGCGCCCCGAGCAGGCTGGTGGTTTTTTTTGTGGTCGCGGCCGCGAGCGAAGAGCGCAGGCGGCGAACAGGGTGTCCGGGCCGACGGGCAAACCTGATTAGCTGGTGGGCGCGGCGCGGGCCGGCCGGGCCAGCTCTCAGAGGCAGCAGCTGCGGCAGAAATGGCGGGGGGCTGGCTGGCTGAACTGCAACGCCCAGGGAAGCTCGAGCATCGTGCAGCCCTAAGGCAAACTGCCAGGGAATTCAGTGTTACGCGCCGCGGCGCCAGTCCACCACGGTGAAGGTGTTTGTCAGGACAGGCAGAGAGTAGCCTGCACGTACAATCTTCCCAGACACTGCAGTGGGGAAAGGCAAGGTACACACTGGTCATGTCGCCAGGGGGCGCCAAGTGCCAGGGCCGTGTCGACGGCGTAGACCTGCCTGGTCGGCTGGGACGGCACGAGGATGGAAACACAGCGTCCGACGAAAGGCTGGACCACTCCGAGACGCCACGCACGTATCCAGTGGAGCACACAAGTCCCGAACAAGGGCAACGAACCGGCCCGAAGGCGATGGCTGGTGGGGATGCGCAGGGCGTCAAGAATCAGCTTCCTGGCGGAACTGGAGATCAAGTTTTTATTATTCCACATAACGCGCGTTATGTGGCTGGGTGGGTGGGTGGGGTCGCTGGCACATAACATAACACAGCCGCGCCCGGCCGCTCGAATGGCTGTATGCACACATTCTGATGCAGCAGCCTATGCGCGCACCACATCGCGCGTGTACACCACAGTGCATGGCGCATGGCAGTGATCACTAAACCACAGAAACTGCGTATACGACTGTACACGCGCCATACCATTTTTTGTTTACACCCTTTGCTGCGCCCACAGCAGCACGTTCCGCGCGCACAACGCAGTCGCGCCTGGCCGCTCGAATGCTGATTGTGAGGACTGCCCTTTGTTGCTATTGGTCATAGCACTCATGCAACGAAAGGACCTAGCAGCTGCGAGTGCTACACAGCGCCGCAATGCCCACGAACACCACGCATGCTGATGCAGCAACCTACGCGCGCACAACATCGTCAGCGTACGTCGCAACGCACGGGTGCACAACAGCGCCTGTGTATACAGCTGTCAACGTGCACACCACCTGTAGTACGCCAGCGAAAAAATCGCTTGCGACCCGACAGCCACGACGCGCCAAGCGCTACAATAGTTTGCGGTCCGATCAACGCGACGTGCCCGTAAACGGCACAATGCTTTTGACGAGCGCAGCGTCTGTGAAAACCACAGCGCTTGTGAACACCAAAGCGCCTGTCAACGTAGCGCCTGCGAACGCCACAGCGCCCGTGAATGCCGCATCGCCTGTGCACGCGACATAACCAGAAAACGCCACAACCCGTGTGAACGCCACAACGCCTGTGAACACAGCGCGCGCGAGCACCGCAGAGCCTGGGGCCCGGCGGCAATGCGCACGCACTTACAGTACAAGTAGCAGTGG